AATTTGAGTACATTTGAGACAATCATTAGTTTTGTTATGAAAGTGAGAATAAAGTCATTATAAAATGAATATCAAACATAATATTCGTATAATTGCATTGAATATTATGGCAAACTGTTGGCCATCTGTTGAATAAAAATATACAATGTTTTCAATTCAGCTTGTATAATGATAATTATTTATTATACATTGTACGTATACTGTATTAGAATTGCATTCAACCAAGAATTATGCTTTCTCAGTATATTCCTTAACATAATCCATGTACTTTTTAATTTTACTTTATTCAACGTTTTATAATTGAAATATTTTCATTTAATTATTTTATTCACCGGTATTTTTGTATAATATTATATATACCGAATAAGTAATTATTAAAGCAAGCAATTACAGAATTCTGTATACATTTGAAAACAATATAAAACATAATTAAATACAATATAAGACACATACTGTATTTACTTTTTAGTACAATAGCTATTATATATTTGATAAATGATTTCAATTTTCAACTCATATTATTAATTGATTTTATATTTATGCTATAATTATGTTTAATATAAAAAATAACTCATCAATTTTGATAATCTTTAAGTCATATAATAAATATTATAAAAGTCTTCATACATAATTGAGTAAAAAAGTATATTTATATTAATATTAATTAAGATATTAATATTAATATTTGAAAACTCTTGCCAGTATAGTTTCCGCATTAATATATTACACTTTAAATGATGTATTAATATAAGAATAATTTAAAAAATATTATTTCAATATTCAATAATACTATAAAAGGATGTGAAGACTATATTTCGCATTTCAAACACAAACATACATTTGATATGTAGAGTAGAAAAGTTATGAACTATTTTTTAGAAAACACTTTTTCAAGACTCGAATGCATTCATAAAATATAATAAATAACAATAAAAATAACGGAAATACAATTTTAGAAATCATTTCTCCGCCGATATATTAAACATAGTTTATAAATAGACGTCTAAAAAGGCATTCAAATCTCATCTCATTATTCACTTTCGTCGCCAAAAATGAGTGGAAAATACAATTAATGAAGAATTTTCGGATTATATACTAATCACTCATCTTTATCTTTTGAGGCCCTCTTCTTCAAGTGCACGACTCCCTCAGCGCCGGCACTCAATACCGCCGACGAGACGTTGGCCGTCGACGTGAGCGCCCATTTCAGGCCTCCCATCCCATAAGTGACAGCTCCGGCGCCCACACTATACACACCATTAGTCGCTTTACTTAGCCATCCGTTGCTGTTATTATCACTTATAGTCGTTGTATTGCTTTCATCTAAACTCTGATTAATAGAGCCGTAGCTTCGGTTCAATTCATTGTTATTCTGTGGAAAGCATTGAAACAAAAATTCATTATAAATCGATTCAAATGAATGCATTCATTGGGGTTCGCGTTCATCGCTAATCAATTATTTGACACCAGTTTTATCATACGGATAACACTTAGAATTTGTTTATGTTTGTACAATGGATACAATAGATAATGGTGTGACACAAACAGATATAAACATAATTTTAGAAATGAAAACAAATGCACGAATATCATGAAGATAGTGGTAGAGTTGGCTCACCTTATGTCCACTCTCTATGAGCACCGATTTCGATGAATTCAATTGTGAATTCATTTGAATGTACTTATTGTGTGTTTGGATCAATAATTATAGTAAATATTGATTTTTGTGTAGAATTTGAGGATTATTTCTAGTGATCTAAACATGAATTCTTTGATATGAATAACATATGGAATAAATGATGGTTTAGTGAACTAAGCATTGGTTATGCAGTGTTTATGCAGTATTGCCCAACACATAGAGTACCGTACAGTATAGCATAGTATAGAATTGGATGACGTGTTGTCTATCTCTAGTATATTTACAGTAGTAAACCATATATTCTTTAATTTCCACTGTTTATGGTATTTGTAATTACTTTTACACAAAAAACACACTTAAATCACAATTTCTGGAAACAATATTCTTTAACAAAAATGTTTATTAAACGATATACTGTAGTGTATTAATTCAGTATTTAATTATTTATAAAATTGTTCAAAAATATTTTTATTATACTTTTACTAAATGAATAACATTCATGTGTTTTGTATTTAAAACTAAACTACAACTGTTTTATATTTGTTTTGAAAATAATTAATTATAGAATTTGTAACATTTCTGAATCTATTATATGTTTGTCAAAACAAATATGCATTTTGTAAATAACTATTTAAGAGTCCAACAAAAAAAGGATTAGACCATGATCATATTTAACGACAGACACTCGACTTCTACTTTAGGTTTATTTGAATTTTTACTGTTTTGTGGTTTATTTTCGTAAAAACCTTTTTCGTGGACCAACTCATGGTAATGATGTATCGTTTGTGAACTTCACATAAAACTTCATCCCATTAGCCATAAAGTAGTTGAGCCCTGCATTGGCTCACAACTCATCAATGAATGGCATATATATCGGCATATATTCGGTGCACTAAAACATGTTATCATATCTGTTATCTATTATTGACTGACAGCTGTTTTTAACTTTCATACACTTTTTTTGTGGTTAACTTTTTTTGTGGGGAGAATTGCATCGAAAACACAGACAGATATAGACTTTTTCGCTAATAATCGCTTTGACACGTTTGGTGCCCTGGGATTAGAGTCTGTTTGCAAATTAGACAAAATATTGTATATTTGCACTCATTTATTGGTTTTGATAAATTACTATTTTTCCGAAACATCAAAGGATTTTTCATTCATTTCATATTCGCATTTTCAAGTCTAAATAAATTGAATGATCTTTTCAAATAAATTATTTTAAATTAAATCTAAATAAATTATTTTAGCATTTAAAATGAATTAATAAAAGGGTTAAAGACTTGCGAGGTAATAAATTTTACAGCAATAAAACATTCTGAGTCAATGAATGACATATTTTCATATTAAACAATAATTTCTTATAAGAAATGTTAACAAACTAAATTGGTTGTCGTAAACTTTTTGTACTATTTATTGTAACAACATTTTTACAAACATAGAAAATGATGGTTTGTCTTTTCCACAATATTATAAATAAAACATTTCATAGTTTTCATAATCTATTATACATTGGAATACTATAAAGAGATGAACAAAAAAATCTGTCAAATGTCAGAATAAATCAAAAATAAGATCAATGAAACAGAAATCAATGGGAGTTCTGACCCTTTGGATGACCTAAAACTCAATAATATTTTATTTTATTAAATAAAAGGTTAGAAATTAAATACAAGCATACTTTATTCAATTAATTTCATTTTGCACTATCTGTGCAAAGTAATTTCATACTTATACACGATATTTATTAATATTTATAAATTGTCTTATCTTAAGGAATTGAATTATAATTTCAATTATTAATAAATATTTGCAAGAGATAGTAAACATTTCACTCTTAAGTTAGTAATCGTGACCTACTATTAACTGGGTGATTCCAGTAATCACTAGTCTTTATACAGCTACTCCTCATAACTTGGTTCAAACTAAACATCTCAGACACAAACCCAAACAAACCCATATTTATTATCCCAAATGTGTTGTAAAATATTTTTATTATACATATAATTACTGCATATTTCATAGAATTTGTCTCAAAATAAGAAAAATTGTTTCTTTGGGTGTGATTACAATTACAGTATTTTTGAAACAAACTTTGATTTCAAGTAAGTATTTATTGCTTTGTTTGATGCTTTTTCACTGTTTTGCGAAACAGACAAATAACATTGCATTGAATGGTATTATTCTGGATGATTGACAGACCCGTTCCCCCTCTCTGTGCAAATTGTTTATAGATTGCGATTTTAGTGATGAGTCAACTCTTATGTACATTACATCTAATTTATTTGTGTTTCCCATACAATAACCCGAATATCTATTGAATTCTTCATTATAGTCAAGAATTTTAATGATTGTTCGTTAAGTTCTTTGACTTATTTATAGGTTTTTTAAACATTAGAAAATTATTCTTATAGTAAAAATGCTTTCAAACGCTTTCTGTAGTGTTTTCGTCGGTTCTTGAGTTTCAATTTCTAAGTGTTCAGCAAAACGGCAAAACTCAGTACTTATCACTCAAATCAAAACTTTATGCCATTAGATACGCGACACACATCTTGAGATTTTAATTTTCTTTCAATAAACAGCTTTCAATAATTGTTTTTATATGCTAAATCAATTGCTTGTAATAGTCTAACAGTTTATCGGTATTATATTATATCGGTCTATGGTTTGTTGGAAAAAGAAATGAATATAAATAGGAAACCGTTTGCAAAAGTGCTTCAAATAATAGTCACTTTTGATCTGAAATGAAAGAAAACATTGGATAGAAAATTAAAATAAATAGCTTTGATGTCAAAAGTCTTTGAGCGACTTAAATGTTTAAACAAAAATAATTTATTGCAACTGAACTTTTCGAGACATTAAAAACATTACATAAACTTCTACTTTGTTTAGAAATTTTTATTTATAAAAAGACACAACACTTCCTTAAATCTAAATGATTTCAGTCACTGTTGAATAAAAAAATTTATCATTTCATAACGTAATTAAATTTTGTACGAAAAAGTTAATGCTTTTATGTGATGCTATAATTCTGGTTAATTATAAATATTTTGAATATTTACTTTCCCTGAGATAACAGATTACTTTCTCCCCTCACCCCCTATAATAACACAAGTTTTTATTTCATGCCTTAATTTACTTAATTCCCAAAAAAAGTTACCAAAAATACATGCTTTTAGTCACAGTCTGGGAGTTCAATAAAGATATAATCAATGTTTTTGGTGCTCATAACTCATACATTGAAATCCAATAGTTGCTAATTTGTTAAATGCATTCATTGAAAAGTTTTTTAATAGGTTTCATTTAAAGACCGCATACCCCTGACCCCAACCCCTGTGTTTCGTATCTAATTACGAAAAGACATTTTATTTTTTTCAGATATTTAAGTAATATATCAAAGAATACATATAAATTTCACACATTTAGTCGTTTTCATTACAAATGACTGATTTTTAGCAGCTTTCGCACAAAAACACTACAGTAACACATAATTCAATGTATTTTCAAACCACAATAATTCAAAACATCAGTTGTTTTTCGCATCAATTTTATTGAAATATTTTGGTTCCCTTGAAATCTATCTATGAATCAGACATTGATTTGCTTTTAAAATAAATCCATGCCTTCAGAGTAGGCGTAACTCTGGAAAACGGGGCCAAATGTTGCCTTTAACTCAGAATTAGTTTTATTGACAAAAATTCAAAACATAAGATTCAATGCATTTCTAATCAATAGTGAAAAGTCTCGGAATTTTGCAAAAGTTTAAACAAAAGTGAAACAAATGAATGAAGCGATTCGTGGAGAGCGTTGCGAATCATTAGTAAACAAACAATGACTGCAAGAGTGGTCACATCTGGTCCTCACTCTTCGCACCAGTACTTCACTCTCATAGAGTACTGCCTTATCGGACGGACAGTATATATGACTACTTTATTAGTGGGTAAGGCTTTAGGATATCTTTCACTTTGAATTACTGTTGGGATCGACTAAAAGTTAAAAACATTTTTTAGAAAGTGATGCCAACATTGAAATAAATAGTTTAGACATAAATCTATTTGTTATCTAAGAANTATATGACTACTTTATTAGTGGGTAAGGCTTTAGGATATCTTTCACTTTGAATTACTGTTGGGATCGACTAAAAGTTAAAAACATTTTTTAGAAAGTGATGCCAACATTGAAATAAATAGTTTAGACATAAATCTATTTGTTATCTAAGAATATTCACCTCAAAGGTCTTTCAGAAAATTGTTGGGATTTATTACAACATATTATATCCAAAAATAATAAAGTGTATATAGAAAATGTAAATAAATTGTGTATAAAAAAGTTTTGTTTATCATCTCAAATATCGGGAAAATAATGAAAAACTAAAACAAATGACTTAATTGTTTGGAAACTAATCTGTTGAAAAAACTTTGGAAAACTCGCACAATAAGCACATTATGCGTGGGTTTCAAAAGGGCTTTACTTTTATATATAGAAATAAAACAATCATTAGTAGGAACTGACGCGGAAACAAATGGTACGAGTGTTTGCTTTTTGCATAAATAAATCCATAAAAAATAAGTTGAACGAAAAAATCGTACGATATTTGAATGTGTTTTTAAACAATAATTATACGAGCAAATTGTTTGGCACTGTTTTAAACAAATGGCTACATTGTGGGGTAGTCTGGGGTACTTGTGTATGCACTGTATGTAATGCTGGCAAAAGTGATGCCAATTTTTTGTGCAAATTAAGAGTTGGCTAATAGACCATCAGTGAAAAGGTTGTTACACTAATACAATGAACGCCAGTGTCTGGTCTGACACACGCTATAACAGGCATTAAATCAGTTGATGGTTGTGCTCACGCTCTCAACACTTCCAGTGAAAGTCGATCTCAAGAATCGATTTTTAGATAATATAAACACTCGTCCGTCCGTTCATTCATTTGTATTTACAGAACACTAATAGAAATACACGTCTGAAAAAAGTTCTCACTTTTCTCTCTCCAAATAAAATTAGTCTCCGCTGTCAGTAAAATCTTATTTTTAAAAAAAAGTATTTATATTTATATTTGAGTTTCTATTTTGTTCGTCACATTCAGTGTTTCAGTGATTCCCTGGCATTCTGTGGCATAACTTTCGGTTTCTCTGCCGTTATATTCCCCTTTCTAGGTATATAAGGCGAAAGGGTGTCTAAAACGTAGTCCAAAAGAGTATTCAAACTCAGTAAATCAGTTGTCAGACACACGCCTGGTGTTGTGTGTAGCGAGTTTCTCATCATCGCTTGTATTCACTACTCCTAAGTCTAGTCTAAACTACTTTGTACTTCAACTCAAACTTTATCGCTATATTTGCTGGTCTTTCCCTTTTTCCGTTTCAATGCATCCGTCTATGACTTGTTTTTTCACTTTCAATGTTTCAGTGGTTATAATACTTGTAAAACATTGAGTTATTATTTGTTAATAATGCGCTTCAAATCAAATTAAACTTATAGTTTGTGTTAATATAACTTCAGAGTGAAACGCCTTCTCCTAAAAAAATTCAGTCATTTATTTCTTTTCATCCAATTTTCTGCACTCACTCTATAAAGTGATGTTTGAAGTCATTGGCACTTAATCTTAACTTTTCTCATCGACTTTTATAATCGACTTTTTTCTTGTAATCAACTGTTTTTGTAATCACTTTATTTATTGGATTCGCTTTCGGGGATAAATTCAAAGAGACGGCAATATAAGGGGAAAGATCCATATATTCCGCTTTCCCACAGATTTTGCATCA